TTCAAGAGAGCTCCATCTCTTATTATTACTCTGACACAAAAGACTTAGCAAGAATCAAGTTCCTCTTGGACTCTTGGTATCTGCCCAGCATATGGGCTTGGTCTGCAGCATTCTTGCTTGCCCAGCAGAACATCCTGTAGGATGTTTGTTTTGGGTTCACTAGAAGTCATTTGGGTCATCTCAGACCCGAAATGGCTCTAACTGGGCATGAATTACTTTCCACTTCTATTGCACATTGGGTAGAACTGAAAAGGGTGCCACTACCTTTGTGTATTTGGTTCCTGGTGGGAGCTGTGCTAGGAAGGGGGTTCAGCAGTGAATAAAGGCTAACGTCACCCCTCGTGGAGCTTACAGACAATAATAAAAACATAAAATAATTATAGATCAGGAAAATGAAGAGGATGCTGTATCAGAAAATAAGTCCTTGTGAATGATACCAGAGGTCAAGCCATAAAGTTGTAAAGTTCTATAATTAGAAAAACTGGGTTTGCTTTTAACTTTAAAAAAAGATACATCTTTAATGATCCCCTGTCTCCCTCTTCATACAGGTCTTAATTCCAGTGAGTAGATTGTGGTCCTCACTCTGGTGGCAGCCAACAGGGTTTCTTCTTAACTTTGGCCAGGGAGCCAGGTTTCCCCTGAGTCTGGCATCATCTGTTGACAGCATGCATCGGAACTTCCTGAGTGGCTCAAATGCAGATTTCCAGGCCCAGCCCCAGTCAACCTAATCAGAACCCATGGATTATATGGAACCCAGACTCCATGTGTGTGAAAAAAACCCTCACGTGATTTTGATGCCATCTTAAGGTTGAGAACCCCTGAACCCAACCAGGACTAGAATCCCTTTGGCCTCTGCTACAGCCTGGCCTGCTTTTTGGGCCTCATATCAAAGAAATCTCTTCCTTTTGTCAGGCATCTGTGGATTTTTCTCCAATGTGCTCAGGCATTCCCTCTCCAAGAATAAATGTTCAGTCTGTGTGCTCACAGCCCATGCCCCTCCCTCTGAAGAACACGGAGGACTTCCGTAGCCGCTGGCCCCCACTCATGCTCCAGCACTCACCCCCTCCTCCTCCCGCCTCATCCTCTGATCACGGTTCCAGAAAAGTCACAGGAGCCCCATGATGAGCTCTTCCTCGACCTCCCTGTAGCATCTAACAACCCGGCTGACCCTCCTCCTTTCCTGGTGTCTTTCTTTAATTTTTATTTATTTTGTGGAGATATAATTGACATGTAAATTTAGTTTTCAGTGTACAACATGATTCAGTATTTGTATATATTACAAAACGATCGTCACAGTAAGTCCAGTTAATATCCCTCAATACATAGAGTTTTTTTTTCTTGTGATGAAAACTTTTAATATGTGCTGTTAGCAGTCTTCAAGTGGGCAGTTGCAGTATTGTTAACTATGGTCACCATGCTGTAGATTACATCCCCAGGACTTATTTATTTTATAACTGGAAGTTTGTACTTTTTGACCCCCTTCACTCATTTTGCCCACCACACCTCCTGCCTCTGGCAACCACCAGTCTGTGCTCCGTATCTGTGAGCTTGTTTTGTTTTGTTTTATTTTTGGATTCCACATATGAGATCATATAGTATTTGTCTTTCTCTATCTTATTTCGCTTAGCATAATGCCCTCAAGGTGCATCCATGTTAACACAAGATTTCGTTCTTCTTAATGGTAGTAGTATTCCATTGTATATATACACCGCATTTTCTTTACCCATTCATTCATTCATCAGTGGCCACTTAGGCTGTTTCCATATCTTGGCTGTTGTAAATGATGCTGCAGTGAGCATGGGGTGCAGATATATTTTTGAATTAGTGTTTTCATTTCCTTCAAGTAAATACCCAGAAGTGGGATTGCTAGGTCATATGGTAGTTCTATTTTTAATTTTTTGAGGAACCCACATACTGTGTTTTTTTTTTTAAGATTTTATTTATTTATTTATTTGAGAGAGAGAGAGAGAGAGTGTGCATGCGTGCGCGCGCACCAGTAGGGGGAGCGGCAGAGGGCGAAGCAGATTCCCCACTGAGCAGGGAGCCCGATGCCACTGGATCCCAGGACCCTGAGATCATGACCTGAGCCAAAGGCAGATGCTTAACTGACTGAGCCCCCAGGCACCCCCCATACTGTTGTTCCTAGTGCCCGCACCAACTTACATTCCCTCCAGCAGTGCACAGGCATCTAATGGTGGTGTTGACCCTCCTCCTCCATTGGCGATCACTCTTCTCCAGGAAAGGGAGGGCATTTTGTGGTCTTAGCTCCTGTTGCTCTTCCCTAGTAATGTCCTATGCCCCACGCTTCCTGCTGCCTCTCGTCTAGCAAAACGTCAAGTGCCCATTTCCAGTTTCCTGCTGGACATCATTTCTGGGTGCAGACAAACCCTGTACTCTACTACAGACTTAAACCTGAATCCGGTCCTGGTCTCAAACAGCTTTGCCTTTTCTGCCATTCCCATGAGAAGGTGCCCCCATAATGACTAAAACGTGCATGGTTCAAATTCTAAGGGTCCAAAAGGTATGCAACAAAATGTAGGTATCCCTCCCCCCGGCCCGGTACCCATGTACCCAGTTCTCCCACTACGCGCAGGCCGCCCCTGCTTCCACCCTCTGGATTCTTCCCTCCTCCCCATCTGGCTGCCAAGTTCTGCCACCCTTTCTTTTATAGGCTCCAACACCTGCTTCCTTTTCTGTTTATTCCTACTGAGGCTTGTTAGAAAGCAGAGACCAAACTAGAGGCCCCTCCCTTCTAGCCAACCTGTGGCCTTCTTTCAGATCAGTCTTGCACAATCCAGTGCTGACCACCCCTCTCCCCACCCTCTTTAGCCACCCTCCCCCAGGTTGCTGAGGGACAGCCGTCTGAGCCTGACCATCAGAGCTTCTCAAAGCTGGTCCTGCCTCACTTCCTGTGTCTCTCATGCTTTGCCCCACTTTCCTCATTAATAAGATGGGGAAATAGTAGTATTGACCTCATACTATTTTTAAAGATATTTTTTTGTATCTTTCCCATGCATCTTTTGGTAGCTTTTAAATTTTGATATAATTTTAAGCTTACAGGAAAATTGCAAAAATAAAAGAAACTTCCGTATATGCTTTACCTGGACTTACCAGTTTTTGCATGTTATGCATTTACCTTATAGTCTCTCATTTTCCCTATGTGTGAGTATGTGAGTCTATATATGTGTGCATACTATACAAACATATGTAATCATATGAAACCATTACATATATAAACCATTTAAGAGTAAGTTGGTTATAGGGGCCCCTGGGTGGCTCAGTCTGTTGATCTCAGCTCAGGTCTTGACCTCAGGGTCGTGAGTTCAAGCCCCTCATTGGGCTCCATGCTGGGCATGGATCCTACTTAAAAAAAAAAAGTAAGTTGGTTATTACTCTTAAGTTGGACATCATGTCTCTTTGCCACTAAATACTTCAGTGTTTGTCTATATATGTGTGTATAAGAAACAAAACATCCTCTTACATAACCACACTTCATCCAATTTTAGTAAGCTTAACTATCTAAAATACTTTGCAGAGTGCCCAGTAGCACGTAGGTGCCAATCATTGTCAGCTGCAGTTCCTGAGCTCCCTTGATTGGTCCTCTGCTTATGGTCCACCTGGGTTAGTGGCAGTACCCAGACAGGCCCTGCCCTTTTTGCCATTCTCCCCGTGTGGGCCCGGTTCCCAGCCCCGCCTGTATCCGTGGACGCCCCACCTCCCTCACAGGCCACAGGCGATGCCACCTGCTTCACAAGGTCTTCCCTCATCCACCGTCTCCCTCCCTGCTCCTGCCTGGAAGCGATCTACCTTAAGTCAAGTCTCTCCTAGTCAAAAGCAGAAAAAGCCCGTACCAGATGGCTCTGGGAAGAAGCTGCTGCTGTGAGCTTAGATTTCATAGGAATCTAAGGAAGGGAATGGGAGCCCTCACTGCTGGGCAGGTGGGACTGCAGCTGGAGGCCACCAGAGTTTTCTGCTACCTCCCGAAACCTACCAACAACAGATCTAGAATTTGTTCATAAATTCGCGAACTTTGTTTCCGATCAGTTCTGCCTCTAACTTGCTGTGTAAACTTGGGCAAGCTGCTTAATCTTGTTGAGCCTCAGTTTCCTTGCTTCATACAAATAAGGCTAAAAGAATAGCCAAGATTTTATTGAGCGCTAAGTGCCGCACTGAGTGTCTTATATTTTATTCACCCAACCATCTGAGGGAGGTGCTGTAACCCTCCCCATCTACAGAGGGGGAAGTTGAGGCATGGAGGGGCTAAGTAATTTGCCTAAGGTCACACAGCTAGAAAGTGGCAAAGCTGGGATTCAGTCTCAGGCTGTCTGGTTCCAGAGCTCCTACTCTTAAATGGCTCCCCACTTTGAAGGGTTATTGGGAGAATTGCAGCATGGATCCTTCCATGTAAGGCACTTAGCAGACTGCAAGGCCCAGACTCAGTACTCAAAAATGTTAACAGTTAAGACATTACCACAGCCTTAGGTGACCCTTATCCCCTGCATGGCCCCAGCCTGTCTCATAACACTTCAGCCCAGCAACCACAGTTAACTCAGTGTCCGAAAATTCAGTGCTGATTTGGAAAAATCACAGAGCTGACCTTGAATTGGACCCACCTGGTACCAGAAACTATGACAAGAGTCAGGGATCATATGGTACCAACCATAGCAGCTGCCATGCCCAGGAGAGTCTGTAGGCAGTTGGCCATCCCTAGGTCATTCTTTCTCAGAACTTCTAAGTCAATTGTTCTGATTCTGGGGCAATGAGTAGGACTTGGCGGTTCCTGTATCTGAGCACATGTTCAATTCCGGGCCCTGCTCCTGGCCTCACCCCCGTGTGGCAAACTCCCACTCATTAGTGTGATCCCTACCCTCCTGCTGCTGGAAGCGTGGGCTGTGGACCAGCACATCAGCATTGCCTGGGAGCTTGTTAAAAATGCAGAATCTCAGATTCCACCCCAGGCCCACTGAATTAGAAACCACTTTTGGTGTTTTTTGTTTGTTTTTAATATGGAATGCTTCATGAATGTGTGGGTCCTCCTTGCACAGGGGCCATGCTAATCTCCGTATTGTTCCAATTTTAGTGTGTGTGCTGCCGAAGCGAGCGGCAGAAGCTGCATTTTAACAAGATCCCAGTGGTCCATAAGCATGTTGATGTTTGAGTAGCACTGGCTAGACCATTCAATGGGACTTATTACTGCGTAGCCCTGGTTTTTCTGTTTGTTTTAATTTTTTGTTTTTGTTCTGTGGCTGACTGCCTCTTACTAAGCTATGATGTTGGGCACACCACGTATTTATGATATCAATAAACAGATTATTACAACCAGTCATAGACACTGTCCGGGGAAAAGAGTTTCTTAGCCTGTTCCCAGAGCTCCACGTGCAATAAGGGAGTGAAGCTGGATGGGGTGTGAAGGTCGGTTCAAAGGGGATCACACCTGCTGAGAAAAGGCAGGTCTTAAGACTGTAGCGTATTCAGCAGCTGGGCCAGAGCAGATGCGGGCTGTGTGGGAAGTCCCCAGGGTGGCAGAACATGGCCCTTGGGGACATGGGGCGGTTGGAAGGTGGGAATTCTTGGGAGGCTAGTGCCTGTGGCTCTAACATATAATGAGGAGGTGGTCCAGCAGGCACTTGGCAGAGATCACAAAGGCAGGGTTCCAGCCCTCAGAGAACAGTGGCAAGAGCAAGACAAGGAGGTGTGAGGTTATCCCCATAAGCTTCCCAGGCAGGGGCTTGAGCCAGCAAAATAAATGGCGGACTCCTTGGAACTAGCTCTGAGTAGGGAAGAATATTGCCATGGGGCTACCAGCAGAAACAATGCCTATGGCAAGGCTTAGGCTGGTGGAGGCAGAGTCCCCACATGCGACCCTGGGTCCAAGCCAGGAGGAGCCTGAGTGGGGTGGCACTGGGGTAGCAGAGACCAGGCTCCCGGTGAGAGGACCCAGGACAGGAGGGGCGGGGAGCCAGCCACGGGCTGTAGAGAAAGTCTGTAAGACATCGTAGACTGCCTTGCCTTTCCTGGCATAAGGTTGGCAAGGAGGTGTGGCCAGATTCCAGAAGGCTTTCCCATCACCCTTGCTGGGCCCTGGTTCACCTGCGGACAGCCTTTTGGCGTTAGTGTGGACCTTGCCCCGACACATTCCTGAGATGATAATGCCCACTGTCATCCCGTGGAACACAGTGACAGCCATCCATGTGAATGGGGCTCCTGACACTCTCCTGGGGTTCGTTTCCAGTTTGTTTGATGTTGGTATGTCTGTCTGTGTAGAATGACTGAAGAACGAATCACTAGTGAGCTGTCCAAAGTCCCTTTGGGAACATTCCAGGAAAATAAACCAATATTCCATCAAAGCCACAAATGGCTTTTTTTTTTTTTCCATTCCTTCAAAGGAGGGTTTCTCAGAGTGTGGTCCATAGATGTCCTGCCTTAGACTCCCCCAAGGAGGAGCTCATAAAACAGATTCCTGGGCCCCCACCTGAAAAACACTGAATTACAATCTCAGTGGGACTTCCAGAATTCTGCATTTTTATTTTATTTTATTTTTATTTTTATTTATTGGAATCTGCATTTTAGATATGCTACCCAGACGATTCTAATATGCCTTAAACTTGAAACCCTCTCCTCCCTGCCCCAGGAGAGGCTCTCCTTGCTTTGCAGGAACCGAGTGTGCGCCCTGCCTGCCGGTACCCCCTCCATGCGCTGCTACCCCCAGCTTCAAGGCCTCCTCTTGTGGGAGCCTGCCTTGTCCCAGCTCGGGGGAAGGGCCCCTGCTGTGCCCCTTTCTCATATGCATCCACCACAGAGCCATCATCCTTTTCATGTCTGTGTTCTCCACCGAATGGTGTAGTGTCCTGTCAGTTTCCTGGGCCCAGCACCACGTCTTTTACATGATCGGTACTAGCAAACGAGGGGATACCCCCGAAGGCAGCTGGGAGGCAACGGGAAATTTGCAGAATAAAGGGTGATGAATAGATACCTCCTGACTCCTCTCTGGGTCAGTGTGAAGCCCTAGGTCAGGTTTTGGAGCCAGAGGGCAAGCGTTGGACCCAGAGAGAGCCCAGGGCTCTGAGTGGCTGGGGGCACAGCCCACCTGTGTGGGGCTGAGGCGACTCCAGAGGAAGCCCAGCTCTCTGTGTGCTGCTCAGGAAGACCCCCTGATGTGGAAGAAAAGACTCAAGGACAGTTTACCAGCTCCGCCCGACCCCACACCCAGGGCTGCTAGAATGCGCAAGCCTCCCCCTTGTCAGGAGGCACTAAAGAATAGAGCTATTGGACCGTGGAACTCCCACGAGTCCTTTCCCCCGGAGTTTCCCAGTATTGGCTACCGTGATTTTCTGCGCAAGGCTCCGTATTGCTGTTTGCCAAACCGGTAACTGTTGGCCCAACGGGCATCACACAGTCTGTCTTAATCATGTCGGTGAGGAGAGAGCCAGCTGCCTCTGGTCTCGGAATGCTGCCCGTCACCTGTCTCTGAGAAACAAGCTACAGTTCCTTATTCTTCACTGGAGCACCATGAAACCTGCTTTACAAGTCCAGGGTCCCTCCTCTGAGCTTGCTTATCTGTGTGCATGTGGTGGGCGGGGAGGTGGGGGTACCCGAGGGGACCCTGGGGTTAGCCCAGACTGCTGTGGCTGCAGGGGACCTCAGCACTGGAGACAGCCTGACCTCTTGATGCATGAGGTCAGGGTAAGGGCAGTGTGCTCTCAATCCAGAGTAGGGTCAGAACCTTCCTTGGTTCTTTGAAGAGAAAGGAGAGACTGAGTTGTAGGGGCAGGGCAGAGCCTCTGAGGGCTCCGTGCACAGCCGGCGCTCAGCAAATGCTTCTTGAGTTGATAAAAGGGGAGCGTCCAGTTCTAGTTAATGTGGGCTGTGTCAGAATCCTTCAGGCGATGGCTGCAATGTCACGGGGGAGTCAGGTATTATAAGATTGTAGGTCATTACTGAGTCCCCTTTGTGCTTTTTTCATAAGGATATTATTTCTGAATCTACTCCCTTTCTTTCTCATCTCCCCAAATTACACTTGATTTGCCTCTAGGAGGAAGGCAGCGCTGTGCTCTCATTTGGTCAGGATTTTAGATTCAAAAATAATAAAGTTCAAAAATCTCGCTGGGTGCTGGGGAAACTTCCTCGAGGTTGTGACAGCCGCCATGTACCGAGGAATTTTACGTGCATTTACTGTTTCACTTGCCCTCACCTTCCACAGGAGGCAGCTGAGGCCCGGAGAGATCAGGGGATTTGTCAGGGTCACACAGCAAGTTGGCACGAGGGTTGGGTTTCCATCCAGGGCTCAGTGCTTGTCACTGCCGCATTGTCTCCTGGAGGTCATTGGCTCGCGTTGATGGAACATGGCTAACACTCATTGAGTCCTCCACCGCTTCTCAGAGGGTTTTGTGTATGTGTCCTGATTTGAGAATTAGTTAAGCTCTCGCACTCTCCAGGGTGCGGGGACTGGAATCCAGGCGCTGGAGGAAGTTCCTGCCTCCTTCCTAGAGTCCACAGGCAGCCAGAGCCCACAGACCCTGCTCTGCAGGGCGGTGGGGCCGGGAGGTGTTGCCCAGCAGTTGGTGGGCAGCGTGGCTAGGGGGGTGTGGAGGAGGTGGGGTTGTGATGACCCATGGGGCCCATGCTCCCTTGTCAGCTCCTGGGGGCGCACCCCAGGGCCTCCCCCCACCGCGACCTCCTCTCCTATTTCCCTTTTGGCCCTGCCCTCGTAGACTCTGTAGCTGTTTGGAAAAGTGAACACAGGGGTCTTTTCAGAAGGAGTCTTGCTCTCCAGTATTCCCAGTGTCCTTACTCACTGGAGAGAAAGCGAGAGAAGCAGGATTGTGTGGGAAGGAGAGGCCAGTGTATGGGAACAGTTGAAATGCAATTGCTAATGACTCCTGAAATTTGTCTCCTAAATGTCCTGCTTGCGTGCAGGGGCGCTGCCTGCCTTAGTGAGGGGCCAGGCCACACTGAATGATGTGCTATCAATACAGTACAATAGCCCTCCAACATCATGAAGACCCTGGTGTTAGGAGGAGATGGAGGGGCCTTTTTACACAGCATGATCCAGCTTTTATTGTATAACCCCTGGGCCTACTGGCCCTTTGTTCCTGTTCTCTTTGACAAAGGATTTTTTTTTTTAACTTTCTGATTAGAAACCAGTAGTTTAAGCCTGCTAATCACCTCTTTTGGCTTGGCATGCAAACCAGGGAAAGACCGGAGCACTTAATCTGTTTGCAAGGGCCCTCTCTGTTCCAGAAGTTCAGAAATGTTGTCGCCACCCCCCCCACTTAAAAAATTATTCAGTGTAATTCCTACTGTAATTACAATAATAAACGTTCTGAGGTGTGTTACTTTTTAGTTTACTTTTTAAAACATTAGTTTACTTTTTAAAACGTTATTTATTATTTTGGGGGCGCCTGGGTGGCTCAGTTGGTTAAGCGTCCACCTTCGGCTCAGGTCATGATCCTGGAGCCCCGGGATCAAGTCCCACATCTGTCTCCCTGCTCAGCGGGGAGTCTGCTTCTCCCTCTGCCCCTCCCCCTCTTTCTCTCTCTCTCCCTCTTCCTCCCTTTCTCTCTCTCAAATAAGTAAATAAAATCTTCAAAAAAATGTATTTTTGATTGGGTAAAATATACATAAAATTGACCATGTCAACCATATTAAGCATCCAGTCCGTGGTGTTCAGCACATTCACATTGTTGTGCCACCATCACCACCATCCATCTCCAGAACTCTTTCCATCTTGTAAAACTGAAACTCTGTCCTCATTAAACTCTCAGCTCCTCGTTCACCTCTCCCCTCAGCCCCTGGTGGCCACCGTTCTACCTGCTGTTTCTCCCAGTTTGAGGGCTTGGGGTACCTCATGTGAATGGACTCCCACGGTATTTGTCTGCCTGTGACTGGTTTGTTTCACTCAGCGTAACACCCTCCAGGTTCATCCCCATTGTCTCGTGTGCAGAATGTCCTTCCTTTTTTAAGGCTGAATAGTATTCCACTGTGTGTACACACCACATTTTGTTTTATCCGCTTAACCTTATCCACTTATCCACTTATCCATTCATGGACACAGGGGTTGCTTTCACTGTTGGATTGTCGTGAATAATGCTGCTCCAAACAC